TCTGGTTTTACACAAACTTCCTGAAGTTATTGCATTCCATTTTGGGCTAATTGTACAGTTTAACAGTTGTTCTGAACTGTTATTGCAAGGCATCAAACATAATATGAAACATTCATTAAGTACGTCACTTAGTCAGGGGTCATCGGTTTACTCAGTGGAGCCGCTGCTGTAGTGACTTAAAAGCAGCTGGACAGTGTACGTGGGATTGAGTCAAAATAAACTACAGTTCCCATTGTTAAAGGGATGAAGGAACATGTCACCCAGTGTAAAAGTGTGGCTCATTGATGTGTTTTTTGACGCAGTCATGTCGACACACACACACACAAAATCAGAAACGTAGAGTTGTGTAGGTGAATGTAAACTTACACACAGGACATGCAGGGCCACAGCTCCTTCTGTCCTCTCTTTGTTTGTGAACAGGTCCGAAGGGAACTCGTGCAGAGCTGGAAGAGAGACAGACGCATACGGTTACAACAGTTCATATACAGAATGTGAGTGCGTGTATGTGTGTTTCTGCAGAGTGTGGTACAGGGAACATATTTCCAATGGCCAGCAGAGTGCACAGAAACCCATTGAACTCGTGTACTGACAAGGAGCCTTTGCCCAGAGAGTACGTTGCCCGAGTGTGTGACAGCCTAACTGTGCCCTGCCAAGGACTGTGTAAGAGCATGCTTCCTCGGAGAGCGACAAGAAGAGAATAAGGAAATGGAAAAAGTGAGCACTAGGAGGACAAAGCGAGGGCAAAGAGGAAAGAGAGCATTTTAAAAATAGAGCATGGGATATTTAGGGTAAGGCAAGTGGGATGGAGAGCAAAGGAGAGAGAATGGATGGTGGGAGTTTAACTGCAATTTGCAAAAACTCCACTTCTCTGCACGGGAATATCAGTACAATTAAGCGAGAGAGAGCGACTGTGTGAGAGCTAAAGACAGAGAGCGCGAGACTGAGAGACGAGTGGAAAGTTGGCAGATGGAGAGAGTGTTAGGGAAAACAGAAAGCGGTGAAAAAGAGGGAGTTAGGTTTTAAATGGTGGCCTGAGTTATTCTACCCCCTCTCCATGGCTTCTCGACTTCCTCCCCTCTGTCAGCCCCACAGTCCCCTGTGACTGCCAAGACTAATGACAGGTGCTTGGCTGCAGGAGAGTGTTGAGGAACCTTTGCCTCTCACCCCTCAGCTTCAAGTCATCCCTGTCATCATTTCCTCCCACACAAATCAGGGGCCCATTCACAGGCCGCTGCTAACATCTGATACGTATTTCAGCACCTACACAATTCCCTGGGAAAGGCCAGCCAGGCATCAGGCAGAGAGTTGGGCTAATGCTAACGACTAGCTAGCATGTAGCAGGCAAAATCAGAATCAGAAATATTTTAGTAAACACAGAGCAATGGTAAATACTGACAACTTTCAGAAGTCTATAAAGGCGACAACAATGCCAGAATGACAATACATTTACAGACCGTGGAAGACATACAAAAGACAGCATGCTACTAACTGCAACATGTTACTTATTCAACTTCAAGAAATCCTCCTGGTTATATAAAGTTGCAGGGCATCTCATTCTGCCAACATGGGATTAATAAGAGATGTTAACTGTTTTAAAAAGAGGCAACTGCAGTTATTGACATATCATTTTCAACAACCAAGCCGGTAATACGCACACCGGCCCAAAGTGCCAAAGTCACGTTTTGCCTTGCCTAGGCGTGGCAGTGTCACGTTTTCAACACATGCTCGTTATGCAGTCAAGTTACACTTTCAAAATAAAGCTTGCTGAGGTCACAGTTGGTAAGGTTCAGGCACCAAAACTACTTGGTTAGATTTAGGAAAGGATCGTCATTTAGTTTCACACGGGACTCAAACAGCGTTCTCCCAGGAGAAAGTCCTGTGTGTGCTTGAGCCACCCATCCACCCCAACTCAACCAAATGCATCCTCCAGTGCATCCATCCTTCAGCAAAGTACCCGCTGATCAGCGCAAAACTATTTTTTTGGTAGAAAAAAAAGCCTGGAGCTGATTAGATCAGCCCCCAGTGACTTAATTAATTCCCATGAGTAATCAGTATCGGGTTTAATCTTTCACGTTTATAATTAACCAAATTCCATGAAAATTGGTTCAGAATTAAGCAAGTTACAGTCAATTTTGTAGGGAAGTCTGCATCTCTCAGCATTGGTAACTAGCGGCACTTGACGTCCCCATGTGCAACCACGCAGACACATGTAAAGTTTCCATATCAATGATTGCCATCCCTGGAGCCGTACACCGCTAGCATTGCTAGAAACTTTAGTCACTTGGCAATTTTGCTGGATATGTTTAAAGGTAAAAAATATAAATATTGTTTTTATATGTGTAAATATATTTTGGGGCTTTTTGGCTTTATTGGAAAGGACAGCTCAAAAAGGACAGGCGAAGGGGGGTGACACTCAAAGGGCCACGTGTCAGACTCAAACCCATGGCCGCTGCAGCAGGGACTTCACCAGGTGGGCTACCAGGGTGCCCAACAATAAGCCAAATCAACTAATAACTTTAAATGTTTAACTTTTATAACACTAACATTGCCTGGATTGCTACTGCTAATAACAACAGGCTAGGTGATATCTATAAAAGTTAAATTAATTCTGACAAAAGCATCTCTGATGAAGTAGATTGAATAACATGTCCTCAAAGACTGGGGACAGAGTGCTGGTTGGGGACTTTGCATTAATGACAGTACTTGATAGTATGACAGTAATGAGAGACAGGAAACACTGGGATAGAGAGGGCATGATGACATGAGAGAGAGGTTTATATCAGGAACATCAAGATTATATGGCGTGTATCTTACAGAGCGTAGGATGCTCTCCACTCTGGGTAGGCTAACCGTAAGTGGGTGAAAGAATGAATGAATAAACCAAGTGAGTTAGGAGTAGTTGAGTAGTTCATCATTCCACCTATGTGTATTTTTATTTTAGTATCTCTCTCTCTCCTTCACAACATGTTGCAGAGAGAAGAAAATGAGAGCAGTAAGAATAGTTCACTACTTTCCCACTGATATCTCCCATTCTCCCCCTGTTCTGTACTGTGTTGACCTATTTGCATCTACAGTATCTTGCTGTGTTTGAGTGGCTGCAGTCCTCTGCAATATGTTTCACTGCTATAACTTCTTAAGCCTAACACAATGCAGAGCAGCCTGTAAAAAGCCACAGAGGCTACAGAGCAGCAGAGCGGACGGCCATCTCACTGCGACAGCTGGATGTGTTTAATATTTACTGTTACAAGCCGATGTTAGGTAGCTCAAAGTCAATCCAGACAAAATGCCAGGCTAGTCTGTGAAGGGAAAGAACAAGCAGCTCTCATGATGGGAATTAGGGTTTAATGCAGATGAGGAAAACACAATACTCCTGTCTGAAGCAAAAATGCAACAACAAAAAAACAACCAAAAAACAAGACACAGGCAACAGTGATATGTTTAAGGGTGAAAGACAAGACTGAAAACAAAATGATGAACAGAATGATGAAGCTGACTGTCTCCTGATATCTTCAAAGAGCCTGCAGATAAACACTCATACTGCTAATTACTGTTCCAAGAAGTATGAAGTCCAATTTCCCATGAGAGGTAGTAAGTACATGTGAGGATGTGATGTAGAACTGCACACTCCCACAAGAAACCCACTGGACCTTCATGTAAACAAGGTGTTGTATACACATCTACACTGAAAGGTTCCACTTCAGAGCACCTAGCTCTTTCTAAATCAGAATCAGAAACACATCCTTACCATGTCACACTGGTGGAAAACATACAAAATGATACACTTAAGGATAAGTCCGGTTTACTACTTAGGTGTAGGGATGGGACTATTTACGATATTATCACATAACGTATTAAGAAAACACTCACACATTTTGCATTATTGGGATAATCCTGAATATCCTCATGAGTGACTTGAAAAGCTGTCTAGCTCGCTGGTGTACAGTCTTGATTTCCTGATTTATTTTTGAATTGTCACAATTGGGAGCCTGCATCTTTCCAAAATCCTAAGCCTGTCACCATGGCTGAAGGCTTGGCTTATTGTATCCCCCACAAAAAAAGGTCCTAATAGTTTCACAACCCCCTACCCCCTTCAACCTAACCCTAGAACTGGGGAATATAAGACCCTTTGTCAAGTTCCCATTATGTGCTGTATAAATCTGGGGAACATAGGAATGACCCGGCACAATACATGTACCGTATGTAGCCATCAAGGGCATATTTATGACGCTTTTTACAAGATTCTGGTTTTACAACCAATCAGCTAGAAACATTTAAAAGTCAGCTGGAGAACGTGTTTTCAACCAACTCACAGAGCTAACCTAGGCTTAATTAACTAGCTAAAGCAGATCAAATCTGCCAGGGATAGTTGTAATCTTGGCTAAATCATTGTTGCTGGCTAGAAATAAGAAGCCTGCTTCTCCATCTAAAAACAAAGAACTCAAATGACTAAGAATTTCTGGTAGTAAATCTGCTATGTTATCATCGTAAATGGCATAATATGCTGTGCAAGAATGGAAAGCTTGACACATAGCAACAGTAACTAAGGGGTGTGGCTTAGCGTACGGTCAATTGCTGAGATGTGTGTTACCTTGAGTAAAAAGGTAACATGATGACCTAACACCTAACACAGACAGTAGAGTATCTATGTACAGTAACATAACACATCCACTAGTTCATAACTGTGTGCACTGGTCAGAGCATAAGAAATGTAGACAGATGTGTGGTCTCATTACACAATTTTAATAACCAGAACAACTACAGTCAACCTGAAATGGAAACCTTACATGCCCTCAGGAACAAGTGGACAGTTGGAGAGGAGCCAGACCGAGGTGAACGGTGCTCTACATGAGCAGGTGAGAGAGGGGCTCAGCAGCTGAGTCCTGTCGAGTGGACATGGTGATGGAGACGAGAGGATGCGCTGGCAGAGCAGTCAGCATTGACCGTGCCCAGACTGTCGCACGCTGTGCCAGAGGGAGACACGGGCAGCAGATGCAGTCGTCGCCATTGCCATAGACACACAGCAAGCACCTGCCTCACTAACGCATGCTACACCCGACTTAATTCCATATGCTTCCATGTGTCAGTGGTGGACGCTATGTCACTGTGTCTCACACTCCAATAAATTCATTATAAATATATGCAGGGTTTTTAAAGAGATTTCTAGTTCTAGAATTGTTAACTCAGCTGACACTAGTGTGGCCACACATTCACTAACACACTCCAACCCCTCATAGTCTGCTTTAAACCCCTAATCATGTAGGGGCAGTTGACTGAGCACACTATTTTCTCACTTTACCTTCACACAGTTGCACACAAACTGACGCTTAAGAGCTGAGCTGCCATTCATGGTCCACTGCTGGTCACTGAGCAGCACTAGCTGAGGGCAGTTCACACACACTGACAGCAGTTAATGAGGGAGGGCAGAGCCTTCCTCACACACTCT